CTCAGCTGCCGGGTCACCGTGATCTTGTCGTAGTTCTTGATGTGCTCCAGGGCCCCGTAGGTGGTGGTCAGATAGTAGGAACCTGCGTGGACAAGGGTGTGGAACCTGAGCTAGGACGGCCTCCATCCACCAGAGGCAAGGAGCTTGGCCTGCCCCACCCACCTCCTCCAAGCCCCGCCCACCACCACTGCCTGGGTCACCTGCTTCAACAGCTGAGCTCAACTGCACGCCCACCCTCCACTCTCAGAAAGTTTCCTAGAGTCCAGCCCTGAGCTGTCTGGGCCCTGCTCAAAACTTTTCATTGGGTCCCCTTGGGGACAAAACTCTTGCTTATTTAAAAAATGATTTTTAAAACATTACAAAATTTAAAGGATACACAAGAGACAGAAACAAAATACCTTCAGTGTGGGGAAAGGGGCGGTCAGGAGACAGGGTGGGCAGGAGACTTCTCACTGTGTGTGTATCACATATAAATGGTCTGTGAGTTATGATGCTTCCATTTATGATTTTTTGACTTCATGATGGTGTGAAAGCGATATACATTCAGTAGAAACCATGCTTCCAGGATCCATACAACCATCCTGTTTTTTACTTTCAGTACAGTATTCAATACATTACATGAGATATTCAACACTTTATTATAAAATATACTTTGTGTGAGGTTTTTTTTGACTAAATCTGGCTCTGTTGCTTTGTCGCCCAGGCTGGAGTGCAGTGGTGCGATCTTGGCTTACTGCAACCTGCGCCGCCTGGGTTCAAGTGATTCTCCTGCTTCAGCCTCCCAAGTAGCTGGGATTACAGGTGCCTGCCACCACGCCCAGCTAAGTTTTGTATTTTCAGTAGAGACGGGGTTTTGCCATGTTAACCATGTTGGTCTTGAATGCCTGACCTCAGGTGATCCACCCATCTCAGCCTCCCAAAGTGCTGGGATTACAGACATGAGCCACCACGCCCAGCTTGTGTGATTGATTTTTGACACACACACACAATAGGCTTTTTGATGATTTTTGCCCAACTGTAGGCTAATGTAAGTGTTTTGAGAACGTTTAAGGTAGGCTAGTCTATGATGTTCAGTAGGCTAGGTGGATTAAATGCATTTCAACTTAAGATATTTTCAATTTACGGTGGGTTTATTAGGACACCACCTCATTATAAATTAAGGAGCTTTTGATATGCGTTAGAATTTTGAGCCATGTGAATGCATTCTGTTCTAAAGTAATTTTTTAAAAGATGGAGAGGAAATTTTAATTATGGTTATACCATTACATGCAATTTTTAAAGATTTTAAATAAGTATAAAATTTGAATCATTTATGTATCCATTTCTTAAGTTAATTCACATATAACTCACTGGAGCCTCCAA